GTGGTTGCAGAAAGGATTTGGCAATTAGAAGGGCTGTGATTTAGAACCCAGTGAAGCTGCTGGTCCCTGGGGAGAAGTGAAACAGTGCTATGCATCTTAAAATTCTTAAAAAATTGTGGTTCTAGGACTGGAGAGATGGCTCAGTAGTTATGAACATTTGTTACTGTTCCAGAGGACCTGGGTTCAATTCCCAGCACACACATGGTGACTCACAACCATTTGTAATTCAAGTTCCAGGGGATTGGATGCCCTCTTCTGGTTTCTTCAAGTACAGGGCATTGAAGTGGTACATAGCCATACATACAGGCAAAACATCATACATACAAAATAAAATTAAAAATTATAGCTCTAAATGAGGAGGTATATACGTTACTCCAAATTTATGGTGGCTAGCCTACATGAGTCTCTGCCTCAAAACAACAACAAAATTGTAAAAATACAATAGATACTTGGGAGGCAGAGGCAGTAGGAATAGAATTCACAGCCAACCTTGTTCTACATAATTATTTCCAGGCCAGCCAGGGTTACATAGTTAGACCCTGTCTCAAAAGGACAACATCAATAACAATAGAAAGGATAACAAATTGTTGTAGTGGATATCCAATAACCAGGCAAAAATAACCCATTTCTAGACCCACAGAGCCCCCTCCCCCTGGCGCCCCCGTGTCCAGCCATCCCACCTGGTGTTCCTGTCCTCATTGCAGTGTACCAGACAACCTAGGTGTATGGCCAGTCATATCCTGTTTGTCTTTATTTTTTTCTTTTTAGTTTGCTCTTGAAATGCACACCTCTGTGGACCAGGGCTTTTTAACCTGTGATGACGTAACTGAAAGTGGAGGGCTATGAAGACTCTGATAACAGTAAAAGGACTCTTAGTGTTCAGTGACCAAAAATCACTTCAAAATCAATCCTAATGCTCCCAACAGCTCTCCCCCACATCCTGGCAGTGCTTACCTATGCTTTTTTTTTTCATTGCGGCCTCGATTCTGAACATACAACATGTACACTTTGTGCTGTACATGCTAGTGTTCCACGACACCAAAGATTGTTGCCTGAATGACCTCAGCTCAAACTGGAGTCTATTGTGTGTTGCAGAGTGCAGGGATTTCACACTACATACATAGATTTCTACTTTCATACAAACATAGTGGTTGTACATTTTATAATCCCAGCACTTGGGAAGCAGAGGCAGGAGGATTGGGAATTCAAGGTCATAGTGAGTGTGAAGCCACCCCAGGCTATATAAGACTCTCAAAACAACAACAACCAAAACCAAACTAAACAAACAACCAAAAAATCTGGATATGGTGCAAGTGGTGGTACATGCTTTAATCCCAGTACTGGGGTGTTTGGGGGTGGTGGGAGGCAGAGGTAGGTGGATCTTCGTGAGCCTGAGGCCAGCCTGGTCTACAAAGTGAATTCCAGGCCAGCCAGGGCTATATCGTGAGTCCTGTCTTAAAAAGAGGAAGGAAAAGAAGAAAGAGGGAGAGATAAAAGGAGCTTGAGTAGTAAAACAAATTATTGTTACAAATGGACTTTAGCTTTGAAAGAAGTGACTTTCTTGGCCAGCCCTTCCTCAGGGTTCTGCCAGTTCATTGGACTGAGAACCTGTCTCTCAGGGAGGTGTGTCACAGGAACCAGTGTGGGATGGGGGGCTCTGTCAGGGTTGGCATGGTCTCTTATGTGTTACAAGTTAGCAGTTAGCTTCTTTCTGGGGATGGCTTGAGGGAAATGGACTTTTTGTATCATTACCTAGCATATAAGGTTGCTACATCTAGGGGTCGGTTGCCGCTGCAGGACAGTGATCTTTTAGGTTCTATGTGCTGCATTGGGGATGCTGAGAGCATGACTAAGAGCACCAAGTCTTAAGTGGAGTTGCTTGGGTTTACATCCTTGCTTTGAATTTACTAAGTACACACCCTAGGCCAAGTTATCTTACTTCTCTAGTCCTCAACTTGCCTGTCTGTAATTCAAGAATAATAATAGTACTTACCTCAGGGTTGGAGAGATGGTTCAGCAGATAAGAGTGCTTACTGTTTTTTGTTCCCAGCACTCAAATGGTGCTACTTACAACTGTTATAACTCCAGCTCCAGGGGATCTCACGCCTTCTTCTGGCCTCTGTGGGTAATGCACCCTCATTAACATCCCTCATATATATATATGTATATATATATATATATATATATATATATATATAATTTAAAATAAAATACTATAGAATACTACTTCATGGGGGTCAGGTGAGACAATATAAAGGCAATACTTAGAATAGTTCCTGGTGTACTGTGTTACTTGTTTCAGGAGTTAGAAACTTGAACCATGAATATGAATCAGAAGGAATTTGGATTTAGGTTTTATTATTCTCTGCATCTCAGTTTCTCTTCTGTATTTCTACTTTCTACAGGTGCAGAGGGATTAATTGAGATGGTAAATACAAAATACCAAAGGCTAAGAATAACAGTGGTCCATGAGAACTGCTATCATTTTAGCAGGAGGCAGCTGGCAGCTGCCCTCAGATGGATTCAACCATGCATAGCCCCAAGCTCATGGGTCCTATTTATTCACCAGTGAGATGAGGAGAGTGCAATGTATGGCACAGATGGGTAGAGAGATAATGATTGACTTCCTATTTGTGAGCAGGTTCTAGACAGAGTACCTTAGCTGAATGAGACCTAGCCACTGTCTCATATAGGTGTATATGAGCAGTAACACACATATACTGTGTGAACTGATAGAACAGACACATGAGACATAGTAGACCAAGTGCTTTCAAGATACTGGGGATGAGACAGCTAGTTAGCCAGGCTCCTCCCTGTCCCCTTTCCCTCTTTTTTCTCTCCTTTTTTCTTCTCCTCTAGACAAGATCTAATTCTTTAGTTCAGGATTCCCTTAAACTTGTACCAATTCTCCTGCGTCAGCCTCCTGATCGCTGGGATGTTAGCCACTCTGCCTGGCTCCAGCTGAACAGACTTTCTTGAAGAAAGGGTTTTTAGTATGCATGTCAAAGAATGTGAGTGTTGAAGGAAGAAGTTGTGGAAAGGAAATACCTTTGAATGTTCGTAAGAATGAAAGAACACCAAATCGTCAGGAGTAACTGGAGTCTGAAGGTTAACTAGCCTGTCATGGGCAAGATAAATAGTGGGTTAGAAATTTACCCACTTGGTAGGCTGGCTCTGCTATCAGGCTTAAAAAAACTCTTATTTATTTACTTCCATATAAGAATGTTTTGCTTGCATATGTGTATACCATGTTTGTTCTCCGTGCCCCCAGAACTGGGGTTACAGACTGTTGGTAGCCACCATGTAGGTGCTGGTAACCAACCATCTCTTCAGCTTCTGCGATCCGACTTTTTTTTTCCTTTGGTGCGGTTATAGGAGATTTTCTGGAAAGAAATACACTTGCCACGGTTTTGAAATGAAAATAGTAGTGTACTTTCTAATAATCTGTCTAGGCGGTTGAGGTTCTTATTGTCAGCCTGTCACATTACTGAACCAGAAATAATACGCATTTGTACTTGACTGTGGTGGACATATACACAGGTGAGAAAATTGTATAGAATTAAACAGATACACACAGATGTGTACAAGTAGATCTGAAAAATCTTCACGAAAACTAATAGTCCGATTGTGATATAATTTTGGCTGACATGGCACGAGGAAGATCTGGGCGAAGTGAACAAAGAATGTCTCTGTATTACTTTTTACAACAGCTTGGGAGTCTTCAATTCTCTTGACATAAACTTTTAAAAACGCACCAGTGAAAGATATTTTTGTCTTAAAAACGCATTAGTAAACGTTTCTAAGCAAACGCGTTGCACCGAGTCCCACTAGCTTTTCTGAGTGAGACACACTCCGGGAATCCTCCAGCACAAAACAGACGCCATTAGTTTGTTCTGCAGCCAGAGCAGAAAGAAGGAAGTCCCGGTCTGGGAAGGGCTCTCTTTTTTCTGGGAAACTACGGACTGCAACTAGCTGCCAGCATGTCGGTCCGGGCCACCGTTAACTTTACCCGAGTTTCTGAAGTACTGCAGTGTCGCCCACTCCAAAAACAGTTCAAACCGTTTATGACTGACCCTCACTTTCTCCATGAAGGAACCGCACGAAGCTGCCTTTTGCAGCCCGGCTAGACTTTTATTATTTCCTATTTTATTTAACCGGGTGCAGGACTTCTGTAGAGTGCAACTCGTAGCACGAGTGAACTTCATTTCCAGAAAGACAGGGCGGGAGGCAAGCGAGGACTCCGGGATGATCCAAGCGTAGTCTGCAAAGCCTAGGATTTGCGCGAGCACCAAGAACTTGGGTAAAGCGAAAGGGCTAAAGGAGCAGTGGCGGGCTGGAGAAGCCGTCCGTCCGCCTGGGCCTCAGTTTCCAGAAGAGCAACCTCCGGTCCAGCCCGGTAGCACCCGTACCCGTGCGCACCAGGAGGGAGTAAACTGAGTCACAGCAGGCGGAGTCGTGCAACCGCCCTTCCTAGAGCCCGGCCACACCGCCTCACACGGTACAAAGCCTCGAGCGCGCGCCCTCGCGCAAGACCCGCTCCCCCGTGGGCACCAAGCCCCGCCCCGCGCTCCCCGCCCCACACACATGACGTCACCGCGGCGGCAGGCCCCGCCCTACCCAGCCCCGGCGGCATGACGTCACCGAGGCCCCACCCCTCCGGAGCGAGTTCGGTCCTGGCGTTCATTTCATTCCTGTCCTCATTCCGCACATTCTTCGCATCGCTCGCGCCGCGCCGCGCCGCCCGAGCCGAGCCGAGCCTCCGCGGCCCCGCCGCCCGCCGCGGGCGCCCCCCAGTACTTCGCACACTCGCTTCCAGCCCGCGGGGAGTCCGCGCGCCGGGGCTAGGGCCCGGGGCGGCCGCGGCGGGGCGCAGGCCATGCGCTGACCCCCCCAGCGCGCAGCGTCGCCCGAGCGCGGGCAGCTGCCCCGGCGCGCCCTGCCCGTCCCGGGAGCCGGCGAGGCCGGCCTGGGGCGGCCCGGTGCGGGAGCACCGCGGGGAGTACCGGCTGGAGCAGCGCAGGGGCGACGGCCCAGCGCCCCGAAGTTTGCCGCGCCCGCTCGGGCGGTCGAGGTAAGTTGCGCGCGGGGCGGACGCGGGGACGCGGGCTGCCTAGGCGTCACCGCGATCGGCGCTTTGTGTGCGGCTCCTGGGGCTCTCAGAGGGGAGCGGCCGCGCCGCCCTGCAAGTTGGGCCGCAGCCCCGCGCGGCAACAGGCGGCCCCGCTCCGATCTTTTGCGCGCCCCTCTCTCCCGCGCTCCTCGCTCCTTGTCCAGGAAGCGCCGAGTTCTGCGCGATCGCGGGTGGGGAGAGCGTCCGGCGCGCAGCCTAGAGCCTGCAGCTCGGCGACTCCCCCGGCGCCCGGCCCCTTCGGGGTCCGCGCCGACCCGGGCTCCTCCTCCCCGGAGATGAAAGAGGGCTCTCTCGCTCTTGCCGCCTCTCCAGCGCTGCCGCCGCCGCCGCCGCCGCTCCAGTGCACATTCAAGTGGAAAATTTTCAGGAGTCAGCAGAAACATTGTGTCCAAAAAAGACTGAGTCGCAGTTACCACCAAACCCGGGAGCCGACTCTCCCTGGAAAACTTCCCCTCGGTAGGAAATACTGGGGGATTTGTTTGTTTATTGGAAAACGATCCCCAGGAGGGCAGAAAAATCTGGGGACACTTTTAGCCTTTGTTCGAGGCAGCACCACTTGTTTTCAAAGTCCAGAGGCCCGTTTGAAAGAAAGTTCAACTTCTAGGAGTTTCTTTTTTAATGTATTTTTCTTAAATCAAAGCTACATTCTAAAGAAGTCGAAAACAATGAGGGGCTCACACTTCTTGCCACGAAAATAAAATCCAGACAACAGTTTTCCTCTCTTTTTAATCGTCTTTCTTTTTAAAGATTTATTTAAAGTTGGATGGTGTCACTCGTATAAAAATATTTATGAAACAATGAAATGCCAGCCACCAGCATTTCTCAGGAGACTTGTTAAGTTCTTAGTAGCTCTCTGTGATTTACAGAAATGCAAATTGATCTCAGTCAGCGCTGGAAACTTACAGACAGATATTCCAGGAATCGGGAGCGTAGAAAGGCCGTGTTTTAAAATAGCGCATTTGAAAGGAGCCGAGGTCCTTGGGGCAAAAAGGTCTGTAAATACGATCAGATTTCAAAATAGTGAAAGGAAAATACTTCAATTCCTACAGATACTGCAAAGTAACAGCATTCAGTCTCCTTCCCGCCTTGTGGCCTGGATTCGTTCTGGAAGTTTAGGTGGTCTGGTGGGTTAGAGTGTGTGCTAAGTACCTGCAGGTGGCTCCCCGGGTGGACAGATCCTTCCCGTTAGGGAGACGCGATCTACCCGGAGCCAAGGGGTGGCTTGTCTGTGCAAGCCTGAGCTCTTGGGTGGGGGCTAATCTGCCTTGAGACTGGGGTTGAATAGTCCTCAGACTGCACAGACTGTGCCAGGGGCTTCCGCCTTTCAGCCTAGTCTGCGATTTTCTGTGAATAGCAGGATCTTTGGGCCCAGGCACATCTGAATGCTTGTAAGGGTCAGACTTAGATCCAACTTTGGTAAGAATCTTTCCTCTTAAGAAGGAAACAGTAGAGCCAGTTACAGCACGGCTCCGGAAAAGACAAATGCGTTTATTTGAACCTTTGTCAACAGCAGGGTTTTAAATTGTTGATGATTTTAAGAGGGGGAAAGGCGTATTTTCAATCTTCCTATTTCCGTAAATGGTCAAAAGATATTTTTGTGTAGTATTTCTTTGACTGTGTGACTGTGCTGGACTCTCAGGTTTCAGGTTTTCAACAGTTTACAATTCTTTTGTTGGTATAAAAAAATGAACTGATAAGCTGTCTCCCTTATTGGATCTTGCTGATGTCTTCAGTAAACCATTTTGTTTGCAGTTTAATGGCAAGTGTTGTTTAAACCGAAGACTTAGGGAAATATTAGGATACTTTTTTCTTTTAAACAAGTTTGAAACAAAGCCAGAGAGACACTTTGCCTTTACAAAATAGTTAAAAAAAAATAGAAAGGTAGGGAGAGTCTTGGTGTGAGTTCCTCCTTCCTACGGTTCTTTGTAAACTCTAGAGAGCACTCTGGGATTACTGGAGATTTTGTACAAGCAAAGGCTAGGATTTACGTATATAGTTAGTGACCTTTAATCTGAAGCAGGCAGACATCCTAGCAGTCTGACCCAGGCTGCAGTAACTCTGAATGAGTAACTCTCGCTTGTACTGTGGTACAGTGTGTGCTTCCTACATAGCGCTGTGAAATGGTGAGGGCTGCTTGCAAGGGTCACCTGGTGGGGAGTCAGCTTCCTGCCCCCTCTCCTTTCTCCCCCCCATGTGCTGGGGAGTCAGCTTCCTGCCCCTTCTCTCTACCCCCCATTTGCTGCATATAACTGAATTATATGTTCACTTAGTCCCTTTGGGTGCTGGCATCTTCTGATTAGGGAAGAAGACAGAAAACAAAGAAAAATATTTTTAGTTCAATAATGCATAACCAGTTTTGATTTTAGTTGGTTCTTATATACACAGAAGCAAATTTAAGAAGGCATATCTTCATGGGACTATCTGGCGAGAAATAATCCATGTAATCACACCACTGGTGTCTAGACTGTATATTGTCTTGGACAAGTATATCAGGAGCAGTTGAGAGAATGGAGGCCCCAAGTGTGAGACATGCCATTAGCAGCATTAGGGAGTTGCCTGCTTTGGAAATGGATAGATCACCTCTGCCCCCAATCTATGGCCCTTGTACAAGAAGAGCCTGAACATCTGTAGGATTGTTTTCCTCTTTAATCTCATGTTAACACATGGGTTAATTGTAAGCATAATTATACTGCTTGCAAATGGGAATTGTGATGGTGTCTTATCACTCCAGTGGTCTATACAGATAACTGAATAATTTGGTGGGCTTAAAAATAATGACCATAGCCACACAGAGAAATTAGGACCCTCGCTTTGAAGCTCCTATTTTTTGGTGCTTGATTCTGTTCTCCAGTCAAGGGAGTATGAAAGAAAAAAGTATATGTGTTTTTTTGAGTAAGAGCTATGCCGAATCTGTTGAGTGATAAAACTTTGAGTAGGGTCTGGTCTTTTTTTTTTTTTTTTTTAAGAGGTTTAAGAAATCTGGCTAAAGCAAGAACTCATTTAACTTTCTCCCCCAAACTGCAAGAAAACTGTTTTTGTTAATCAAGGCAGTCCCTGCTTCTCCTTCAGAGTTCAGTGACTGGAATTGCAGACTGCTTATGTCCTACTTCCAAACTCAGCAAGAAAAATACATTGTTGTTCACCCTCATTGATCAACATAGGCTGTGCTTGGCTGTGCTTGGTTGCCTGGGCATTGGCGATAGCTGCCATCATGTTTTGTAACTTCAAGTTGCCCTTTCTTAGTTGTAGAGGCTTTAGCTCATCCTCTTTTTAATTTGGAACCCATGTCATGTAGTATTGATATGCTTTTTTTCATATCAATCAAGGTGTAAGATGAAGCAATCAGGTCTGTCCTTAGCTACGTTTCAGTGTTGGGCTTTTGATAGACACTAATTTAGACCCTGTAGTGTGACAGCTACTGTGCATGTCTGAACGGGGTGCTCCACCCCTCTGGCTTTCAGGGCATAGTGTGTAATGCTGGAATATTTGGGTCTCCATTTTTGGAGGATTTTTGTTTAGTTTCAAAGCTGTGAACCTGGTGGCCAGTCCTTCAAGGTTCTCTTTTATAGGCTTCCTTAGCGCTGTTCCATGTTTGAACTTGAGGCTGAAATGTGAAATATTCGGTCTTTGCAGTGGGTCAGAGTAGATGCATTTTAAAGTGTTTTTTGCTTGTTCGAAATGAATGGTAAGTCTTGGTTTTTCAGGACAGAGATTGGGTCACTGTTTCCCACAGGGTGGGTTACTCTCAGGTCCCAAGTTCCCATTTTGTCCACTTAAACAGGATGGTTTCCTCAATCTGGGGTTGGGGATAATGGACACACACATTGGTCTCTCTTCTGATTAGATTCTGGGAGTGGCTCTCCAGTTTTGTGGCAGCCCAAGGGGGAAGGGCTGTGCACCCCACCCCCATTTCAAGCTGATATTTGTTATCCTCATGCTTTCTACTTCCTTTCCATACTCACTTGAGTTTTCAGGGCTCTGTCCTGTGATTTCATCCCCACCCCCCTTTTTCCCTCTCTTCTTCTGAAGCAGGTCCCATGTAGCCGACTTTGGACTTACTGTGTAGCCAAGGATGACTCTGAACGCTTGATGCCTCTGCCGCTCAAATGCTGGATTACAGGCTGGTTTTATACCCTTGCTTGGAATCAAACCCTGGGCCACATACATGATAGGCCACCCCTGTAACAAGTGAGCCACATTGTGTATCCTGCATTAATTTTCTAATTGGGAAAGACAGGGTGTTAGAAATTGAGCTTAGACTTAAATGTGGACTAATTTACCAACGAAGAGGCTAAGCATCTGCCTCTGCAGGTGGACAGTCCGAGGACTTCTAGGACCTGTCAGACTTAGATGTGCATACAAAAGATGACTGTAGTTCTGAGGTCTGGGAATACACGACAGTATTGATAGGTAAACTAAAAAACTGCTGCTAATGGTGGGAAATGTCAGTTATGTGAGAACATACTGAACTTATATTCTCTGGCATGAACTTTAAAAAAATACATAAACTGTACTGCCTTTAAAAAATATAGGCACAGCTTTCTAATTATCATAATTCAGTTCAGCTTCACTCTTGGATGGAGTTCAAGTGTAATCTCAATTTAACTTGAAAGGATTTTTTTTTAATCTAAGAATGTTTAGGAAAAATTGAGAAGTTCATCCAAGAATGTTGTCCGCTTAGGTGCGAGGATGGTGGCGGGCAGATTAACCAGTACTCTTTTGTAGTGGTTCTGCTGTGGGTATTGAGGGAGAGTCTTCTGCCCCCATTTTTACTTTGAATTAGCTGGGGGACCTGCATCTTAGGCAGTTTTTATGTTACCTGATGCTCCAGGGTTCTCACTACAGACCAGTGTCTTCTCTAATAGGTAGTCAGTTAGATAAATGAACATTTTATGATCATCTGCAAAGACAGGAAAATCTCTAGGAAAATAGGAAGATAAACAGAATACTTGTGAATTCATTTGATAAAAGACCCCGTCAATCTTTTATGCCAGCCCAGCCTTTGGAAGATGACACCTGTTTGCCTTCACACCTTGATTTCCTGATGGTTTTGACAGAGATCCACCCCAGTGCCCCATATCCTACCATTTTTCTATGCCCTTACCGTCTTTTTCAAGGAAAACGAAGTTAATGAAGAAAGGACAGTTTAGATGATGGCCTGATTGCTACTGCCGAAGTGCATAGAGAACCTGCAAAAACCAAATGACTTCATTTGCTCTGGCTCCGAAGAACTGAATTCACTTCCATGGTGGTGGAATAAAAAGGAGCCAAACGTTTTAAATAGCCACTCCCCGAGGCCCGCCTGGCCCAAGTGTTTTTTTTTTTTTTTTTTTTTTTTTTGAGAAAAGCACATTGTCTGCTCCTGCACTAGCTGGGAGCCTGCCTGCACACCTCCCCCACCAGCCATGTTCCAGTTCTGAAGTTGATGTCTGCTTTTCATATTCCCCTAATCTGTCCCCACTCACAAGCACATATGCAGCACAGCACACACGTGCATTCTGCAGGTAGCCCTGGCGTCTGACACAAAATGTGTGTGGTGTGTGTTTCAAGTCCCCACTAGGGGAAACAAAAAGCTAATAGCACAAAATAAAATGTAAACACCACAGCCGCCGACATGCCTCTGCTGCTGGGCTTCTGTCCCACAACGGTGCTTTCTGGGCAGGCGAGCCTATTGTTGTGGCAGCAACAGGCAGCAGAAGTTGGGGCACCATATGGCCCATGAGGGCCTCAGATAAGCTGTCTAGTGAGTCAGCTTATCAATAGCACTTTGATATGCCTCATTTTCAGATCACCCATCACCCGGCCTGGGGTGTGCTGGGACCTGACTCCTGAACCATTGTGAGCCCATGTTTCCTTTGGAAGGATCTCTTCTGTTCAGTCCTTTCCCTCTGGCTGCCTCCTCCTCTCAGAGCCTCTCGGAGACAATGGGAGTTAAAGTCAGTTTCTGTCAGCTGAAGGGACGCTGGTCCTCAGGTGTTGCCATGGACAGACCAGAAGAGGACAGGCTGTCAGTGCTCATTTCATATTGCTGGAGCCAAGCATTCCTGTCATTCAGAGTTGGCTTTTGTTTTAAGTACTGAGGAGATAGCATTGCTGCTGTTTCTGGTCTGATAAGAGGTTTCTGTTATATATCCAGAAAACCACCTTAATTTTCTTTCACCTTCATCACAAAGTGCAAAAATGACTGACATGTATGTCGGGAAGGGCCCCCAGTGATTTGGAGACAGGAAGTGGCTGCTTTTCAGACATAGGAATTGTTAAGAAATACTTCTAGACTAGCGCTTAGGTGTCTATATTAGCAAAAACTGAATCCAAGTCAGAATCTTCCCCATTGGTGAGCGGCTGGAGCTGCAGGGCTCTGTGCACACGGTAGATGGTTTAGGAAGCTGCAGGGCTCTGTGCACACAGTAGATGGTTTAGGAAGCTTAGCCATGCACATGGCCACTGGTTTATCAGTTTCTGGGCTGATGTTTTGCCCATGTGCCTGGGAAGCCAGGGTGAGACCCTTTCTCCATCACCTCCCACCTGTATGTGTACCCTTTAGGCCCCTCATCCATTTTCACACTTTGACAGTTGGATTTGTAACTGAGGGTGTGAAGACCCATTTAGTGACTGATTCACGGTGCTTCCTTCTGCTTCATACCCAGGTCAGCCTCTACTCCTGCCTATACCATGAACACCAGCCATAAAGACTGAAGGGGCTCCTTAGTGCTCTCTGACTCTAAAAGGCCTCTGAAGACAGCTGCTCATGGGAGGGGACATGTTCTATTTGTTTCTCTTTTAATCCTCTGATGGGGTAAGTGTTATCTGTTAGGTTGTGTGTACCTGCAAGTTTAGTGGAATCTTCGTGGAATTAGAAAGCAATGTACACAAAGTCCTACTTCTTAAAAATTATTTATTATTACTGATTGTGAGCATGTGCCACTTTACTGGCCCACCTTTTTGTACAAAAGCAATAAAACAGTCTAGACCATGCTCTCTGTGTCCAGCATCACCAACTCCCTGGAGAGTCTTGTAAGTTGTTTGTAGATATGCAGATTTCTGCTCAGACTGCTGAGGTTCTGCAGGGAAGGCTCTAGAGCCTCTCTGTGCATTGGAGCACTGAGTGAGGGGTCAGGAGGGTGAGAGAGCCCAGCAGCAGCAGCTCTGAATCAGACTCTCGGGAACCACGGTGCTCAGCTTCCTGTCCTCATGCCTCCTCCCAGTTCTCTCGAGCTCTTGGGCATGCTCCTAATATTTATAGAGCTGCTGCTTGCATCTGTGCCTTTAGACAGTGACAGTGACTTGATCAGGAAAAGGCAGCCAGTGCCCAGTCTCCAGGCCCATCCAAGACAGACTTGCACAGAGAGGTAGTGACAAGCCAGTGGGGAGAGTATGTGTATCGAATTTTCCTGATTTCTAATGGGCAAATCTTTATTTTATTCTTTTCACTTTTGTGGTGCTAAGCATTACACACTTATGCATACCCACTCACACCCACGTTCTCTCCTCTCATGTATTTCTACTAAGTTACAGCCCCAGCCCAAGAGATGTTTTTATTTCTATTTTTATTTCATGTATCTCAGGCTGGCCTGGAACTCACTATGTAACCTGAGGATGACTTTGAACTGACTGTCCCGTTTCCATTTCCTGAGTGCTCAATTAATGGGCATGTGTCACCCACCATGCCTGGCTTATGTGGTGCTAGCAGCGGAACCCTGGCCTTCCTATAGACAGGCAGGCCCTTCAGCAACAGCAGGGGAGCCTTGCATCTCCAGCAGGCTGAGTGTTCTGGTGCTGGGGTGTGTAGGAATGGGAGAATCATGGCAGGCCATGTGGTGGTCCTGATCCTCCATGTGACTACAGGTACTCTTCAGAACCTGTAGACTGTGCAGTTGGTACGAGATAAGTCACAAAATCAGTAGTAATAACACCTAAGAATGTCACATCACTAAGGGTGAGAGTGTGTGGAAAAGTGTGGACTTTGGTCATTCTGGGCTATCTTGGCTACTATGACCTTGAACATATTATTTTGTGCCCTTGGGTTTTTGGTATCTTCATTTAGAAGTGCCCTTCTGTCTCTTATCCCCCTTCTATGGTTTTTTTTTGGGGGGTGGACGGACAGGGTTTCTCCATGTAGCTTTGGAGCCTGACCTGGCACTTGTTCTGTAGACCAGGCTGGCCTCACATAGATCCACCTGCCTCCGCCTCCCAAGTGCGGGGATTAAAGGTGTGTACCACTGCCGCCGCTGCCACCACAGACAGTGGGCATGGCAGAGCCTTTTTATATAGCCCAGTTTGGCCTGGAATTTAAATCTTTTTTTTTTTTTAAGATTTATTTATTACATGTACAGTGTTCTGCCTACATGCCAGAAGAGGGCACCAGATTGAATTGTAGATGGTTGTGAGCCACCATGTGGTTGCTGGGAATTGAACTCAGGACCCTTGGAAGTGCAGTCAGTGCTCTTAACCTCTGAGCCATCTCTCCAGCCCCTGGCCTGGAATTTGTGATTGTTTTGCCTCTGGAATGCTTAGGGTTACAAACCAGTACCAGTCTGTAAATCTGGAGAGAAGGCCCACTCTACATAGAGTGTTGGCCTGGAGGGTCCAGTTTTGTTAGGGACTGCCTGGGGGTCAGCCTGTAGGGTAGCTTTGGTGCATAGCCAAGGCTGAGGTGGTGTCTCAGAAGACCAGGATCTGTCTCATCCAGGCTAGGCTGAAACAGCCCTGCAGTCTGTACCTTCATTGCTCGTAACCATGCTCCCTTCCCTGTGCAGTGAGTGGAGGAATCCGTCAGTAAACACATAATAGTTGAAGTTCCCTTTGCCAAGTGGTAATACAGAATTAAATGAAAATTCTTCAGAAAATAGACAATTTATATCTGTCTAAAAGAAAAGCCTTTTGGAGGCTTCCACTCTGATTCTTAGCATGGTGGCTACAAGTTCTTTTCTTCTGATTATGGGAAGGGGCTTTTTCCTAGGGAGACTGCGCCAAGGGCTCGGACCTGCCTGGAGCCCCATGGGGTTCTGAGAGCACCTAGCATTGGGAGGCAGAGAGCAACACGGCTCATGCCTAACGTCGTTGTTCTCTTTGTAATTTTAGTTTTTCAGACAGGGTTACACTAATGTTGCTGTGGCTAACCTGGAACTCACTGTGTAGACTAGGCTAGCCTCAAAGTCACAGACTGCCTCCCCACACCTGGTCCTCTTGAGATTGCTTAAGACAGGCTGCCTTCAGTTTCCTCAACTAGAGAATGGGCTGAGGCGTTGGAGTGATGGTTCCACCCTTTGGAGTGGCTGCTCTTAGCTTCCTAGCTCTGTGCTCCCAAAGACCACAGACTGCCCTGTTGGTCCCTGTTCTGGTAAGCTTCCCTTTTCTGGGGTCAGGTACATTTCACAAGATAATTCAGGTGCCGGTGGGGGCGGGGTGCAGTTTTTTCTCTTTATTTGCTACTTGCATATTTAAGAGGACAGGACATTTGTTAGACTAAGTGATGAATGTCTAATCCCAGATATCCTGGATGAGTGAGCCGGCTTGACTCCTTGGAAGCTGAATTGCCTGTTGAGTTTTTTTTCCTTCTTTAGAATTCTTTCACAATTTCATGTGGGTAGTTTTTTTATTTTTATTTTTTTTGAAGTCAGCTGCTTCTAACTGGTCCTGCTTTGCGCAGATTCTCAGTACAGTTCAGGGTGTGTCATTGACCCTGAGTTTTTAGGCCACTCTGGCTGAACAGTCTGAGCAGTTAGAGCTTGCTCTGTGGGAGCTTAGCCAGGGACCACCTGCATTTTATCGACTCCTTTCCTTATCTCTTAGGAAGCCATGCGTGGAAGGGTGTGCTACTCAGTCAGGTTTCCCAGCCTGAAAAAGTTAAACTGAGAATGTTGCAGGGAGGAGAGTGGTAGTGCTGGAAGGAAGCTTTTGGAGGTGGGCAGACTGACAGCCAGCAACATTTCAACTTGACACAGCCCCAGCCCCAGTGGCTTTCCAGAAAGCTAGTGTGTCGTATACTTTCAGAGTTTAAGTTTTACCGTGTGTGAGCTGTGTCTTCAAAGTAATGGACCCAGGATCTGGTCACTGCACTGACTGGCGTCTGTTGTACCCCCTGGCATGTCTCATGAATTCTGTGGTGGTTCAAGTGATTAATATTTAGACCTAATGAAAGGCGCTTATATCTGTTTGCTGGGTCTAGTAAGGGAACAGGAAGAACCAGAGAGGTCCCTTAAAGGAACCCACAAGGTTATTTGAAATGGAACATACTGGGTTGAATGTAGCCCAGTGCCAGAGTCCTGGGCCTGCATGTACAAGGACCTGGGTTCATCCTAGCATAGTTTGCCTTGTGAGTCAGAAGCAGGCAACTCTCTGTGAGTTCAAGGCCAGTCAGAGCTATATAATGAGACTTCGTCTACAAAGCATAGAAAATCTTTCACCTAGTAAGTGCTCTATGGAGTTACTGATTAAATTTGTTTACGCGTTTATTTATTTGAGGCAGGGTCTTATGTAGCCCAGGTTAGCATCAGAGTTACTCGTTGTATAGCAGCTAAAGGGTAACCTTGAGCTTCTGACTCTCCTGCTTCCACCTCGTGTGCTGAGAGCTCGCTCACCCAGGGAATTGCACTCTACCAGCTGCTCTTAAACTTGAAAGCATCTAATGAAATGAAATCATGAAGGATCAAGTAGATGAAGTCACCTCTGGAAGGCACATGGGGCTGCTTGCCCATCATCCCTAGTATTTAAATTGATGTAAGGTGGGGAGGGAGGAGTCTAAGTCATTTTAATTGGCAGCCCAGTTTTCAGCCTCTGCTCTGCGCCCCCCCCCCCATTTGTTTTGTTTCTCTGTATAGCTTTGGAACCTCTCCTGGCACTCGCTCTGTAGACCAGGCTGGTCTTGAACTCACGGAGATCCACCTGCCTCTGCCTCCCAAGTACTAGGATTAAAGGCGTGCACCACCACTGCCCAGCTTTTGCCTGGGACCTTTCCTGTTCCTATGTCCTCCAGTCACACCCTGATTGTCTTCCTCGGCACTGTGGCCAGTTTATGACACGACTGCTCAGTGTGACTGTGACTTGCCTCAGCACACCCTGTTTTACTCTTAGAATGCCCCAGTTCATAGCATGTGGTACGTGGCATTTCTAATAGATTGGCTGACTCCCTATTATTGATCAGAAAGAAGAGTGTCTGGATAGGAGTCCTGTGGCCTTTGTGGTCTGTGGAGAAGGGAGCAGGGGTCGTGAGGTTGTTAGGCTTTCATTTCCTCCCGCTCTTCTTGGGAAGACTGTGCTGGTGTCCCACACACATGGGTGGGGAAAATGGGCTGGAGTCTTAGAACGTTTGGTAGAAATCTTTGTCCCAAACTAAGAGTTAGTATGAGTCACTCAGCCCTAGTTGGATCTTTTTTGTTTGTTTTTTAGATAGGGTCTCACTGTGTAGTTTGGCTGGCCCGGACCTCTTCACTTGGACCAGGCTGGCCTCTGAACTCACAGAGATTGCCCCTGTCTCTGCTTTCCCAGAGCCGAGTGCCCCACCACAAGTGGCTTGCTAGGGTTTATCCAGCTGTGCTGTTTCAGCTCTTCTATTCAGTTCAGTGTCTTTGAGGTTCCAGGCAGACTGAATGTTAGGAATAAAGCACGTGGGGGACCTTGGCGGATTCCATGGTGGGTGAGAGACAAACATGTCAGGCAGACAGAGCTTAAGTGAGAAGTTTTATTAGAAAGGGGGGGAGGGGGGGCGGAAGAGGCAAAGCGACACAGAGACAAGACAGAAGAGAGCGGGTGGGGGCTACAGCAAAGGTCCTGTCTGTCCTCCTGAGGAACAGCGGG